ATTTAAGCCCAGTCAGTACGTAGTTTATGCGCCTATTAGTAACAAACATACAGACAGACACCACTAGATTTTTATGTAATAGTGTAGAAGTATAGATAGATACTTATTTTCGTGGAAACAGACGCAATTCACTTTTGTTTCTAAAATCAATCAAATATCTGTAACGTAACTACATTTTTTTTTTACTCAATGTTTTAAATGATTATGTAAATTAATGCAAATACATACACGTTTTGAACTATGGAACAAATTAAAATGATGACTGATATGTATTTTGTTGTTGATTAATATTTAAATTGATGAAATATGTGCCCTGATTCAGAATAATAGTGATTCTGAATAATGGTGGTTGGCTTTCTAACAAAAGGTAATACAACTTTTACATTAGTTTATTTATGCTTATTATTGTGATAATACACACTGATCTGCAGATAAAGATTGAGCTTAAAAAAAAGTAGATAGGGTAAAACATATGAATTGTATGTGAAATCAATATAAACAGTTTTTTTGCTTTACTTCAGTGCCTTATGTTGTACGATTATTTTTCTTATTTACTTTATACTAGCTGTTATCCACGGGCTTCCCCCCGTTTGACTTCATAAGTATTAATAAAATTATTGATTGGTTGAGTTAAGCTGAAATAAACAAAACAGAATACAGTAATACAAACAAATAAGTAGCCTACAGCAGAGGTATTTTTAACATTTGGTATATGGAAAGTTCCCTTTAGAAAGGAATTACCAGAGGTGCCCATCCCCCCTAAACCCAGAGGCGCAATCCCCCCCCAAGCCAAATGAGTAGTTCCCCCCCCAATTTATGTTGTCGTTTATTTAAATCTACCCTCCCCCCACCAATTTATCTGACAATTTTCCCTTTACCTCATAAAACGAGTATTTAAAGTATTTAGTAAAATCGAGGTACAAAAAACAAACTTGCTGATTGAGAATCAAAATTAAATGTTTAATAGGAAACGTCATTTAACAATACATATCTAACTAATCGTTGAATTAGAAGTTTTTCAATTTACAAAATTCCGAATTTGTATTGTCAGCCAACATGTGCTCAGTATTGCTATAGACAACGTCTTCAACACGTTCAACAATATACTCGGTGAATTACTCTACTCCAACACAGTACTGTAACTGTACAATATGTGGCGTTAATGTTTAGAGGGCTTAAGAAATCAAACAGCTTTAAGTGTATTAATAATACTTTGGCATAAAGTATCTTAATTGTTTAAAAATTATAGGCAGAGTCACGAAATAAGTCAGACTTGTTGCTCGCCACATCCAGGCTGCCTTCTACAAAAATCGCCGGGCAAAATACCATGCCACCAGAACAAAAGGTTTTTGTGACGAAGTAATCTTATAATTCATTTTTATAGCCCCAGGATTGCCTTTAATGACTAAAATGGTAGGAACGCATCTTGTCAGATAATCCGTTTGTACACAAAACACGAAACGATTACAGATAGGCCTATCAATTCACGCGTGTATATTACCGTCAGCAGGACTAAACTGAAGTAAACTGAATCAGGTTATGACGGAAAGACGTGGTCTCTGGATTGTCGTCTGTGTTATCAAAAGCTGATATTGGACTAATTGTAGTGACGGAGGAAAGTATGTTGAAAGTATAATGGGATTCATAATTGAGTTTTCCATTCAAAACCATTGACAATAATAACCAATTTATATGCTGGATATAAATGATGGTCTAGAAATTCTACAGTACTGCACGAAAGGAAATTTATTAAATACTTTGAGGAGTTTGAAATATATGAATACATAAAATTGGGGACAGCACAAAATTTTTGAGTGAAAACACTCAATTAATTATGAAACCCATTATATTTTCAATACTCTTCTCAGTCACTACAATAGTCCAATATCAGCTGTTGAAAACGCAGACGACAATCCAGAGAACAACGTCGGTCCGTCATAACCTGAACCCGATTCAGTTTACTTCCAGTCTTGCCGACGACAATGTACATGCGTGAATTGATAGGCCTATCTGTAATCGTTTCGTGTTTTGTGTTAAATGTTTGTAACGTATTCTGACGACACCTCCAGAAGGGGTTTTTTTTAAATCCTGACTATGGTGGAGTTAAAGAACCAACAAAAATATGTAGCATGTATAATTCGACACTGGCATGTTAAGGATTGTCTGACAATGTGCTTTACCATTCTTAGAAGCAATCTTAATCACGAACGGCAAAATGTTGATGGTGTTGATAGTGAGCTAATTTTAGTGAGAAACTCTTTTTCGGACTGCTTGTACAAAATTATACAGCCATTATGACAGCTAGCAAAAATTAAAAATCCCCCCCAAAATCTCTTTAAAAAAAGTCCCCCCAAAAAATTCCTGTGGCGCAAACGCGCCACAGTACCCCCCCTCTGGGCACCCCTGGGAATTACGATCTTAAAGGGCAATTTATGAAATAATGGACAGTTTTGCGCAAGGTTTCTCGCCATGACCAACATTTTAAGTATATGGTTATGGGGATGTGACTCTTGTAGTTTTCTCAAAAGTTCATGGGTACTTTGGGCTTTATATATAGATGTACGTTTTTTCAACGAAATAAATGTTTAAGCAAAGATTACATGTCAGCTTATCATTATTTGAAAATTTAATCGTATGGGTACATTTTTTCATACATGCATCAGCGCCTCATATCGTTCGTACTAGGGGTACTTAGGTAGCCTTATTGCAGACGTATTGCTAGCTTATTGCAGACTGGATAGAGCCAAGGCCCAACTAGAAACAGTTTATCGTTTTGGTTTTACATAAATAATATAAAACTAATGTTTGCTGATAAGACGCCTGAAGTCGTGGGATTTATTGAATAATTTGTAACGGAAGTAGAAGAGATAACGAAACTATTCAGCAGCAGCTTCATTATTTTCCAGGAACAAGCTGTCATCGTTGAGTATTTTTGCGGAAATACCAAAGATAACAGTTTAATCTTTATAGGGTCATAAAATGTAAAAATAAACAATTTTGACATCCATCTACACTTATAAGAGTCAAATACCACTTACTGACACACTGATCTCTTTAGCTCAAAAAGTACTACCGTACGATATCAGGAATCGGCATAATAAGGTGTGCAATAATAAGCGCGTGGCCGCATAATACTCACAAAGGTTTCTCGAGTGAGGCGATTGCATTTTGCACTCGAGCTGCACATTATATTTTTCCTACAGTTACCATGAAACAAATAAATTGGTAAAGAAACGTGCCTTCACGTTGTAAATCTGGAGTGAGACAAAGTAATTAGAGTGAGACAACGTTAACATTGTCTCACTGATGAGCGAATTGGCCACTTAGCTTTCTAAAATCAGTGAGAGAACATGTACATTGTTAGGTAACTGTAGGAAAAAGTTATATATTTGCCCAAATTTACTTTGACCCACCTGTAACCTTATACCTTAATAACCTGATGGCGTTTGTTAAGTGTGATGATTAAGATTTGTATTATCTCGACCTAAGGACTGGATAGAAGACACAACAATTCTTTGTATGCACCCTGAATATAGCCAACTAAAATGGTTGATCACAGGCACTACATTATAATATATATTAACATTTACGACCACGTTAATTCATACAATTATTGTAGTAACCGTAAATTTAACGGTTAAAAACATTACAGTAGTCCACATGTCATAGTCGAGTTTAATACAATTACAAAGAAACTTTATCATCACCCAAGATGTTTAGTTCGGATATTCTCACTGATTGACAAGGTTAATAATTTTTCCTACAGTCACCTAACAATGTACATGTTCTCTCACTGATTTGAGAAAGCAAAGTGGCCAATTCGCTCATCAGTGAGACAATGTTAACATTGTCTCACTCTAATTACTTTGTCTCACTCCAGATTTGCAACGTGAAGGGACGAAATAGTGAGCGCGTAAAACATGCAGGCAACGTCGTATGCGCGCGAAATACGTTGGCAGCACTGGCTGTAAATCAGCTGGTCAGCTGTTGTACTGTTGTATTTGTCACTTCACATTAAATGTTATATTAAAAGATCACTGTGTAAAAATAGGTTATGTTTCTTCACCAATTCATTTGTTTTATGGTAACTGTAGGAAAAGTATAATGTGCAACTTGAGTTCAAAGTACAATTGCCTCACTCGAGAAACCATTCCAATAACAGGAGCGTGGTAATGATTTCTCTCGAGTGAGTCAATTGCTCACTTTTCTCACTAGTTGCACAAATAACTATTTCCTCTACACTACTGTTTAAAAGACCTGTTTTCGTTACATGTATGTCACCTGCGAAAAATTCATCATTACATTGTTTAGTCTACTACGGGAAAATAATGTTTACTATGCGAAAGTAATGTTTACTATCGTTTTTGGATTTTGCCAACATAAAAAAACAACAATTTGTTATGTTTTGTCAACAACTGTTATAATTTTCAACTACCAAAACTAACTCTACAACCAAAGTAAATAATTTAAATTGAAGCTAGGCCTGACCTCTGAAATATGTTATGAGTTTTTTTTAAATTTTCAAGAACATAATTTGTCTTTGTAGTGTAGCGAAAAGTATTGTTCAAAACACGAGTGAAAGTGGGTCTATACATATTCTCGACCATTAAAGTGCTCAGTAAATGTAAATCTAGTACTTAAAACATGGTGTCAAATATGTAGGCCTATATCACATTCTCTTCCTACTCTTGTTATGAAATATATACTATATTCTTGCATATACAGTACGGTATTATAAAATTCAACTTATGTTTGTAAAACTAAAAATTAAGTTTTAATACTAACAAACATACGAGTACCAGTTCTCGCGTTAAATGACAGCTGACGAGCTGACAGCATAGGCGGGAAATCAGTCATGAGAGAGCAGGTAGTTTCTTTTCGACCAATGAGAGCACCAGCGCGCGCTATCCCCACTACTGTAGAGTCAGGGCCGAGCCGAGTCTGTTCCAACTGGAGTGAGAGTGAGGGTGCAGGCGCAGGGTGCGAAAGCGAAACGCGGCGCGGCAGTTTGAGTTTGACTAGTTGGAGGAAGACGGACTACATAGACCCATTGAGGGTGAGCGCTGCCTTTGCACTCCCCCTAGGCAATGTTACTGTTTTTTTCTCTGTTCGCGAAGTGGTTGGAAATATGACTACGCACTCGTGCAAGACTGAAGCTCCTGAAGCTGATGCTGTCGTCCCATACATTCGTCGTCGCGTGGGCTACATCATAGATGGAGGGATGAAACAGGCTACCTACAGAGACTTGCAGATGATTGCCAGAAAATTTGGCATACCACGCAATTTGAAGGTTAGTTTAGTTATCACTGCTATCAGTCTTTACATTTATAACATGCTTGGATAGCAAAAGTAGCATACTATTTAAACGTTAAAAAAATTACGTTTTATGAAATAGGTTTCTTGTATGAACATAACTTAACATTACCTTACCTAACCAAATATAAGTTAACCCTCTCTCAAATAAATACATTCACTCATACAGGTTAAAATGCAGCATATTGTGTCCTTTGTCCCAGTTGGCTCAGGGCAAATGTTGGAATACTGTATGGTTTAGCATACATTTTGGTCTAGTTGTATAGATAGTGACTGACACTTAGCCTTTAAAGGTTTTTCATTAAGATTTGGTGTAGAATTACCGGTAACTAAGTTAAGTCAATTATAAATTATCGTTATGTTAGTTACAATTTATGTACCGGTACCACTAGGTATATAAACCCAGAAAGAGCTGCTAAAGTTGATAACATCAATTCTTTTAGGGACCACAACAAACACTTTTTACATAGATTTTTAAAAGATGGTGATTATAAAAATCATTGTTAAATTTACAGACATTTAGGCCTAACTTCCTGTTTTGTAAACCAGTTCGAACATGAGTTACATACCGTACCCTACTAGGCTAACTTAGTTAGTTTGGGTATGTACTTACCTACATTTAATAAATAGGCATTAGGAAAAATTGTTAACATTCACAGACACATGGGATGGCATTTCAAACAAGGCCTAATTTGGCTAAAGGTTGCTAATTAAGATGAGAGATCGTAGATTGATAACATGACATATTCTATACCGGTACAGTAGGCTATTTACTCTCAGAAATGATTGTAATAATGTACTAACTGTATTGATTACATTCAATAATTTAGTAGCCATCCTGCCACAGATTGAACAGTTTGATGGCAGTATCATAGACATGTGGCACTATCTTCAAGCTCTTCTTAGCTCTTTAACTTACCCTAGTCTTAAGTTAAATGTTGCTTAACATAGGAAAATTATTTTAGACAAGTCCTAATATTAAAACAGGTTTTAAGCTACCTGCTAGCTTAAAAATTTGTTTTCGAGATAAACTAAAACTTTAGTTTGGGTAAAAAATTTAACAATTGCCTGCTAACTAATTGATCAATCTTTAATAAGTCATCAGAATTTAAATAGACAGGTCACTGGGAAAATGTGAGAGGTGTATTTATGGTAGGTTAACCTTTGTTATACAATAATATTGTCCAATTAATCTCAAATCAAACTGTATTGCAACAGAAACTATATTCTGATGTATTTTTCTTTAGCATTATAACATTTTTTCTAAAAGTTACCACTTCAAGCACTGAACAGCAATGAGGTGTGTGGGGGCTCCAGGATAGATTCTCAAAGGGGGATTTTTTAGAATTTTAAATTCTAGAGTTGACCCCTCTCTACCAGTATTTCAGTCACATTTAATAAAAATTAAAGGTATAACTTAGCATACAATTAATACTGTATAATGTGTTAGGTAACGCCTAATATTATAAGTAGGTACCGGTAATTGTCCATTTTTGGGGTTAGTTAGCAAAGTAAAGTCATAGCTAAACATACTCCCTACCCTAAGGGAGTATGTTTGTTTAATCTATGGTAAAGTCTACAGGGTGGAAAACGTCCCGGGGCAGTTATATATTTAAATACCCTCACCATCAAACCTGCAAACTAAGCAAATTTCCATTTTCCTGGCTGGATTTCTACTAAAATATTCCCTTAAAATTGCCAGATTTATTTCCTAGTAGGTAACGTTAATTTTAATGAGCACTTAGGTTCGCTGCTACAGGGAAGGTATTGAGGTGTGTTTTTTAATTGAAATGTTGATAGCTTCTAGTATAGAAAAAAATTACAAGTTTGATAAAAATATATCTACAGGGTGGCTGAAAAGTAACTTGCACCCCCTGTTAACTTTTCAACCATTTGAGATATTTGAAATCTGTTTGCGGCAACCTTCTTAGATATGAGGGGCTACAATAATTATGGTCAATTTAGATAATTTTGCCCGTGGGGGTAGGGGGTAGCTCAAAATTTTCGTAGCTCAATAGTCGAGTTTGGTCTCATTTTACAGGTCTACAGGAAACATAAAAATTGACATAAAGGAAACCAAAATCGGCCCACTAATAACAAAATGGCGCTCTAAAACGTTTCAAATCTAAATAACCATGAGGGTGGCTGAAAATTAACTTGCGCCCCCTTTAACTTTTTAACTATTTGAGATATTTGAAATCGGTTTGCGGCAACTTGTTTGGATGTGAAGGGCTACAATAATTATGGTTAATTTTAGAAAATGTTGCCCTTATGGGTAGTGGGGGTAGGGGGTAGCTCAAAATTTTCAAATAGCAAGTATAGTCGAGTTTGGTATCATTTTACAGTTCTTTACGAAAAATAAAAATTAACATAAAGAAAATAGAAATAGGAGCATTAATAACAAAATGGCAGTTCTAAATAACTTTTTTATGACCATTGTCCTAATCATTTTTAGCTGCCATTTTGTTATTAATGGTCCGATTTTTACTTTCTTTATGTTATGTAATTGTTATGTTTCGTGAAGACCTGTAAATTGATACCAAACTCGACAATACTTGCTATTTGAACATTTTCAGCTACCCCCCTGCCCCCACTACTCATAAGGGCAACATTTTCTAAAATTAGCCATAATTATTGTAGCCCCTCATATCTTAGAAGGTTGCCGCAAACAGATTTCAAATATCTCAAATGGTTGAAAAGTTAAGGGGGGGTGCAAGTTACTTTTGAGCCACCCTCTTGGTTATTTGGATTTGAAACGTTTTAGGGCACCATTTTGTTATTAGTGGGCCGATTTAGGTTTTCTTTATGACAATTTTTATGTTTCGTCAAGACCTGTAAAATGATACCAAACTCTACTACCTATACTTGTCATTTGAAAATTTTGAGCTACCCCCTACCCCTAACCCCTAAGGGCAAAATTTTCAAAATTGTCCATAATTATTGTAGCCCCTCATATCTAAGAAGGTTGCCGCAAACAGATTTCAAATATCTCAAATGGTTGAAAAGTTAAGGGGGGGTGCAAGTTACTTTTCAGCCATCCTGTATAAACAAGCAAACTACAACAGTTTATTTATTCTCTACCTATATAAGAATAACGAGGGAATTTTAAACTTAACAATTTTTTAAATTATATATCCCTAACTGTTAGGCAAACATTTAAACGCTTCAATATACAAAATTATTTCTTTTTTAAGCTCTACAAAATGGTTCAGAAAGAAATTGTAAAAATTTGCGCTTTGAGGGTCAAAAATTATGAAAAACCTATTTTTACCCCATTAAACCTCCAATAAACCCCTTTTTCCATAGTCCGATCGCGCTGGTTTGCGAACTCGTTCAAATAAACATAGGTTAGGTACACGTTTGTAGGTACTAAATTTCATCAAAATCGGATCATTTTTGCTTGAGTTATCGTGCTAACAGACACATAATTTTGATATATATATGCCTATATTTTTAAATGAATTTGAATGTAGGGTGATTTTGGCTTCTGGGAACCTCAAAACGTAAAAAAGTAAATCGGTCCTGGGTCTAGGTCTTATCATGAGACCTATGGTAATAGCCTTTTCCCGATATGGGAAATTTGCTAAAAAATACGGTAACTTATTAAGGATAGGCTAGAGCTGCAAAACTTGGCACAAAGTTTCTGGCCATAAAAACCATTTTAACACAATAACATATTCGGTGGCGGATCTGGAACAGTCACAAAGGGAGGGGGGGGGGCGAACCAGGATGTCTGGGGGTGGGGGGGTTTCATTTTCCCAGGATGTATTTCCTATTTTATTTATTTATTTATTTCATTTTATTTCATTCCAATGGCAAAACCATTATACATCTCAATACAAGAAAGATGGCTAGGTACTATTCACATACTAAAAAAAAATAATGAATACTGAGTGCTAACAAATACATAACATTACAAGCAAATAAATAAGTAGTAATAACAAACGATAGCAACAACAACAACAACACTGTGGCTAATTAATAAACTATTGACATACCACCAAGAAGAATTACTAGAAAAGCTATCAGGCACACATGGAAGTTCCTTAATAGATAGTAGAAATAAATATAACAAATAATCTATACTTATTTAATACGCAAGCAGATTTTTTGTGACAATTACTCCTCCGAAACTACTGAACCGATTGACATGTTTTTGGTGTCATTGGAAAGAGCGTAACGTGAAGTTGTGCAGGAAACTTTTTTTATGGGGAAATAATTCGAGAGTGAGGCCCTGGGGCCCTTTAAAGTTTCGTATTTCTCCATAAGATTAACATGGGAAACAAACATTGTTATGAAACTCCAGCTGTTGTCAGAAATGCTGTTCTGCTATTTAATTTCATTTGTTTACAAGGAGAATTATTGTTTCTTGGTGCCATGTGGTCAATGAGTCAATGAGCAGTTATACTTTTGCATATATTTTAAATGATATACACTATATAAAATGATGGTACTGTAATGCATTAAAAGATATTCATTTAAATTAAATAATCAATAGGTACGATTGAGCCTTTGCCTATATATGTTTCCTGGTAAGTGTGTTGTAACTGTTCCTTATAGTATATTATAGTATCTTAAAGTAAAACCAAATTATTCTTTTCTGCATTCTTACCCCGTAGCGAAGCACGGGCAGAGCAACTAGTATAAATAAATATAACAACCTATAACCTATTGTCATTTTTGTGAATTAACTTATCAACCCATAATCCCCATTGAAACCAAACTATGGTGTTTACTGTGTAAACCCTAATTGTGTTTTGACTACCTATAGATATAGTATATATAGGTTAGGTATAGGCCTATGCTATATAAGTTATATATAATCAATGATGTACAAAAGATGGGTTTTTAATACTTTGCTACAAGCATTTTTGTCAGTTACCGCAGTAAGTGGGTAAAGCTAGATCAAAGATTTTTTCTATGTCGTATAACTTAAGCTAAAATATACTTCCAGTTCCTTGTTTGAAGTTCATGTTTAGTGATTTTGAGGTAAATTAATTCTTTTGTCAGATTATTGCTATTGTAGATATTATTTTCTATCACAATGAATAGGTAAAAAAGAAAGTTTCCACAGTGTTACTCACATTCATCACACGTATTCTCATCGGTTTTTGGTGTTTGATAAGTTACTTTCTGACCTGAGTTACTCTCACCTCTGGGCGGGTCAAGAGGCCAGATCCTCAAATAAAAAATATAGGCTATCTAAAAAAAATGAAAAAATGTAAAATGTCTCTTTGATAATTCTTCTTCTCTTGAACACCAGAGATATACTTGAACCCAGTCTCTCACAAAAGACAAAATAATGACCTACCAGCACGCACTTTATCCCACTATATTGTGAAAAATATCTCAAATAGTCGGTTGGACTCAAAGGAAAATACTTCTTATAATTTCATAACTTGAAATAACAATTCTAACTGGTTTAGTGAAATTGACCAAGATAATAAACTGCAGACTAAAAAGGTTTAAATTAAACCGTACCAGGACTGAATGTTATAGTTTATGTATATACCAACCATTCATATTTATTAGGATTAAATTGTACCAATAAACAAACCAAGACTATAACTTGTGTGTTATTTTCTACAGTTAATGTTTGCTAAATACCACATTACATGCCACTTTGCTTATAAGCACCCTTTAAAAAACACCACTATTTAGCACTTTTGCCTTGCCAAGTGTCAAGTCTCTAGGTGTTAACAGCAAAGTTTAAAGAAAAATGTTTAGAACAATTGTTGACGACAGGTATTCTCAACAATAGTACCCTACATTTTGTCACTAAAGTGACTAATGTAATGTTAGTGGTAAAGTGACTAGGGCATAAAGTCACTCAATTTTTGACCCGACGGAGGTCATAAAATGGAAATATGGGTTGAAAAGTAACGGGTTTAAACCCAATTTTTACCCCCTGAATCCACTCATGAAATCCCGTTCCCATGGCCCGATCGTGCTGGTTTGCAAACATGTTCGAATAGCCTAAATGTAGGTTTTTTGATACATGTTTGTGCCAAATTTAATCGAAATCGGATAATTTTTGCAAGTTACGTGTTAAGGGTGCGCTTTCCCCTGACGCGCCACCAAATGCAATGGTTTGCAAGATATCTGTTTTCACCTGCTACATTGAAGGTAGAATCAAAGTTAAGGTCTCATATTAAAGAGGATGAAATTTTCTATAGTTTGAGCTTTCATTATTGCAATTATTTTTAATACACACCTTATAAACTTGAGTTGTAAAACAAGAAAAAAGGTCTTTTGAACTAGCCCTAACTTATTAATAGATTGGTCTTTGTACTACTATAAGCCGTTTAGAGTGTGTAGCTATCATTATTCGTTAATTCGAAAACAGGAATCTTGAAAACCTCTGCAAGCAATGGGGCAACATAGCTACTGAAGCTGCGAGATTTCTGAGCTGAGGTGGAGCACACCCTTAACGGACACAAACCTACACAATATAAATAACTTATATATGAATTTGACATCCAAACGAAAAAGTTAATTGGTTTCGGGTCCAGGTCTTACTATGAAACCTACACAATAGCTTATTCCCTATAGCCTATGGGAAATTCGTCAAGACTAAAAAATGATTTGATTGTTTCAACAATAAAATGATTCGATTGTTTCAACTTTAGGCTTAGGCTCATGAGCAGTTTATTGTTGATGAAAATAAAATAATCAAAATGATTTTAATATACATAGTTACACGTATTATGTCTTTTATCTTACTAATATTATAAATGTGAAAGTTTGTGTGTTTGTTTGTTTGTTTGAAGTTCAATCACGCATTACTACTGGACGGATTGGGCTGAAATTTGGCATGATGATACCTCACATTCCTGATTAACATATAGGCATATTCTCATCTCAAAAATCCTTTTGGGCTCCGCCCCAGTGGCTCTGCAGTTCCCCACGTTAACCTTAAGAGTATTCATTTAAAGGGAATTAAAGAATTTAGTCAGCTGTTTCAACTAAAAAAGTTGGTTCTATGATATGCAAAAGCATTAAAAAGTTACAAGATATTCCGTCAGGGTGTAGCACTATAATTTTTTTGCATTTATGAAAACAGCTAATTTGAACTAAGCAGCAACAAAACTGTGATACGCAATGAGAACTGTCAAAGTAGGATTGTTTACAGTTATGTTTATGTTAATAATTTCATGAAAATTTGTGATATTCTGAGGATTTTAAATCACATATATTTCTCTATTTTTTAGGTGAAGTGGTAGAACATTATAGCAATGGTAAATGTGTAATACTGTAGTATACCGTAAATTTAAAGAATCAAATTTTACCAAACTGTGTCATCCCCCATTGCAAACGCAAAGCTCGAGTATAACTACAATAAGCATTTTATACTTATATGCCAACCCCGTACGAAGGACGGGTACTCTGCTAAGTGTATCATAAACTAAGTTCATGCTAAAACAAGACTCTACTTGTATCGTAGTGGTATTTCACTCAGAATAATCTCTGGAAATCACTGGTTTTATAACTTTAACAGATAACATAAGGTTAAGGTTCAGTCAAAGCTGACCTGCATATTGTTGGTTAAGATATATTAAAACAATGATCCTAAACCAGAAGGTTCACTCAAAAGACATCCATATATAAATCTCAAAGTACCCATGAACTTTTGAGAAACTACAAGTCACACCCCTATAAACCATATACTTAAAATGTTCGTCATGACGAGAAACCTTGCGTAAAACTATCCATTATATAATAAATTGCCCTTTAAGGTCCTAATTTCTTTTAAGGGGAAATTTCCGTATACCAAATGTTAAAAATAACTCAGCTGTACTTATTTGTTTGTCATTCTTTCAATTTATCACCTAATTGAAGTCAGGGGTGATTATTTGTTTGTATTACTGTATTATGTTTAGTTTATTTCAGCTTAACTTAACCAATCAATAGTTTTATTAATAGCCTACTTCTGAAGTCAAACGGAGTGAAACCCCCGTGGGTAACAGCTATAGTTTATTTAAATACTGATAATTCTATCAACTTCTAGAACATCTATTAGCTTTTAGCGTTTGTGTATACAGGGTAGCTGAAAAGTAACTGCCCCCTTAACTTTTCAACCATTTGAGATATTTTAAATCGGTTTGTGGCAACCTTCTTAGATGAGGGGCTACAATAATGATGGTTAATTTTGAAAATTTTGCTCTTAGCGCAGCAGGGATGGGGTGTAGCTCAAAATTACTCAAATACGAAGTATAGTTGAGTTTGGTATCATTTTACAGGTCTTAACTTGGTTGAGCTACCCCCTATCCACATACCCCTAACAATCAGCAACAAATGGGCAACATTTTCAAAATTAACCATCATAATTGTAGTCCTTCATATATAAAAAGATTACTGTAAACTGATTTCAAATATCTCAAATAGTTTAATAGTTAAGGGTGGGTTACTTTTCAGCCATATCCCTCGTGGTTATTGGATTTGAAAGGTTTTCAAAGGCGACCATTTTGTTATTGTTAGTCAGATTTTGGTTTTCTTTTTGCAATTGCTTAGTTTTGTCAAGACATGTGAAATAATAATACCAAACTCGACTATACTTGCTATTTGAGAATTATTAGCTACCCCCGCTACCCCTAAGGGCAAAATTTTTAAAACTATTGTAGCCCCTCATATCTAAGAAGTTTGCTGCAAACTGATTTCAAATATCTCAAAAGGTTCAAAAGTTAAGGGGGGGGTGCAATTAAGTTACTTTTCACCCACTCTTTATTATAGACTATAGGTCTAATGTAAGTGATAAGAAGACCTCATGAAGATGCCATACAAGCTGGCAAAATGCATTAGGTGTTACACAAACATGTTACAGTACTCAGGAACAGAAGAACCTACAAGTACTACAATCTAATATAAGTTAATTCTAGTTTGTGAACTTGGAATAGCAAACAAAGTTTTAATCATATTTTTTTCCAGAAAAGTGCCCTACAAATGCTTATCAAGGCAAATATAGATGGTAGACACCAAGAAGCGAATGCAATGTTAAAAAGAATTCAAGACGCCAGACTGAAACGCAAGCTGAGCCGTACAGGCAAGAAATTAGGAAGATCTTCTGTTAAAACTCAAGTGGAAATAAACAACAATGAACCAAATACTACAATGGTAAGGAAGTAATACCCCCGCCGCAGCAAACCTGCAGACTAAGCCAATTTCCATTTACCTAGAGCTGGATTTCTACTAAAATATTCCCTTAAGATTGTCAGATTTATTTCCTATTTAAATAACATTAATTTTAATGAGTAACAAGGTTTGCTGCTGCAGGGAAGATATTGTGGTGTGTATTTTTATTGAAATGTCGATAGCTTAGTATGGAGTAAACAAAATTGTCAAATTTGATTAAAATACTGTATATCCATAAACAAGCAAACTACAAAAGTTTATTTATTCTTTATAAGAATAACATGAGGATTTTAAATTTTAAGTTTTTTTAACTATCTCTGTAACCGTTAGGAATACAACAACGCTTCAACAAGATACAAAATTATTTCTTTTTTAAGCTAAAATATAGATTACTGAAAAGACAATCAAATATACAGAGTGAGTTTTAAATGAGTTCCACCCCCCCTACTTTTTTCCTACATTTCATAAGATATCAACTCTGGACCACGTCATATAATTGTAAAGTAGTAAATACTTAATTTTGACTGGGTATACATTTTTGTCCGTCATCTTGGATCTGTGATATTGGATACAAAGTTTTTGTTCAAATGTAAAGGTATAGGGTTGTGACCCATCATTTCAAACTAGATTTTTACGCTGAGTACAATGCCGCAATACGTTTTTCAAAATATGATCTTTTGAAAAGTTATAATGAGTTTTCTAAAATATAATTTTTGAACAAGTTCTTTTATAACCTAATGTTAAAATATGCCCATCCTTAGTCTCAATAATTTGCTAGAAAAATACAGAAATCTACCACTCAACATTTTTGGGCCATTTTTCTTCTTTTTGGTGAATTGGACATCTTCAGGTGCCATCTTGGATCTGCCATATTGGATACAAAACATTATTTTAACCTACACATTCAAACTAAATTGTTATGCTGAATATGATGCTGCATTCCGTTTTTCAAAATCTCAATCCGTTAAAAAGTTAAAAGGAATTTTCAAAAATTTTTTGTATAGGTACATTTTTATTTTGCGCAATGTTAAAATTTGCTCCTAACCTCCAAAAGTAAGAGAATGGATATCTATTCATAATTACATTGAGCGATTGCACTGTAGAATATACATATTTTTTATATTCTTACACTGAATTTATTATTATTATTATTAAGATCCAAGATGGCGGCCAAAAATTAATAATTCATTAAAATGAAGTCAATTTGACCTTACAATAATCAGAGTCTTAACCCTCTTTGACTCCTTGAAAACTCACCCTGTTTAGACAATAAAAATATAGATAAATAATACTGTGTATTGAGTATACACTATAAATTGCTTGTAAATAAATCTTCTTTCTATAGTTATTCTTCAGTATGTAAATAGCTTGAGCTCGAGTTACAAAGGTAATAGCACGAAAAGTCAATTTAATAAGGTCCTGATGTATCATCATCACATTCAGAATTCAACTAACTCCTTAGTATCTCATTATTAAGGAAATTGACACGAAAGCAGGCTTAGGCACCTTTAAATAAGTCCATTGAGACATGGAGGGTATATACAACACTAAAAAAGTAGTGCCTTCAAATAGATGATTCGTGCTATGATTAATCATTAAATAACTTCTTGATCAGCATTGTACGTGTTATTAAAGTTACGGAAAGTCAATCAATCAAGTAGTTTATGATTAAAAAAATAAATAGATATAACAATGGTAATATAAATATAAATATTTTAATGGTAAAAAAAACATCTTTTAACACTTAAAACATATATTTACGCAACTTATACTGTAACTCAAAAGACAGTAAATATACAAAAAGGATGGTAAGTTGTGATCAATATCGATTAAACACCAAGAACCAATTCATTCTCCTATTGGGTCTGATGATGATTGGAGTGTCCAATTGAAATCGATCACCACTTACCATCATTTACCGTCTTGTGAGCAACAGTATAAGTGTATATATTTGTTTTAAGTGTTATAAGACGTTTCTTTTATTTACTTTCCTCACTGACCGACCTTCAATGTACCTCCCATCTTTTTCAAGGATTTCTGTTAAGCAAGCTTAGTGGAATGATAAAAAGAGCTGTTTTAGGCCTACCGCACACGAGAGACTTTTTGTCGGCCGACTTTTTAGTCGTAGTCGGGAGTCAAAGTCGGCCCCATAGTGGTAAATCTGAGCGCGCACACGGGCCGACCGCAGCAAGACAGTCGGCAGACTGTCTGCAGACAGTCGGGGCAGTTTGGTGCTGACCGATTTTCCCGCCGACTGCTCCCCGACTCAACTGTCGTGTCTTATTGATAAAGGCACGGAGATAAGTTTGATCGCGCACACTGACGACTAAAAAGTCTGTCTGTCTGACAGTCGAGTGCATTGTTATCATGTGTATTATTATTGTTATTATGATAAGTATTATTATTTGTGTGTTATTGTTATTATTATGGCTTCGACAACCACCAGTGCAAGTGTTTTGAGGGACGAGAAAGTTGATAAACTTATCGACGAAGTTTAGGCACGGTCACCTCTTTATACAAAGACTTTGAAAGAGTATTTGGTCATAATTATAAAAAAATACCCCCGCTGCAGCAAACCTGCAGACTAAGTGAATTCCCAGTTGCCTGATTAATTTTTTTATTTAATCTATTTCAATAAAATTAGGATAAATGAGTACGTAGGTTTGCTGCTACAGGGAGGGTATTCAGGGTGTGTTTTAGTAAAACATTAATAGTTGAGTATAAAATAAATATATTTGCCAAGTTTTATCAAAATACATCTATAAACAAGCAAACTACAACAGTTTACTTGGTCTAAATATAAATGACATGAAAATTTTGACTTTAAATATTTTGGAATTTCCCTGTAATCATTATGATAACAATTAGCATGCTAAATTATTTATTTTTCAAGCTCTGCAGAATTTGATGCAAAATTAGCTATGCAAAATGGGAAACCCCCATTTTTACCCCATAAACCCCCTTCCCATAGTCATGCTGGTTTGCGAACTCATTCGAATAAAATACATGTAGATTTACACGTTTGTACCAAATTTCATCAAAATCGGATAATTTTTTTTCGAGTTATCGTGCTAACGGACAAATATATATAAGTGTGTGTGAATAATTTGAACGGATGGTGCTTTTGGCCTCTGCGGACATCAAACAGAAAAGGTAAATCGGTCCCGGGACCAGGTCCCACCATGAGACCTACGGTTACAGCTTATTCCCTAAAAGTTATGGGATGAGGTATTTGAAGCCGGGGTATTAACAATTGGTCAAAAAAATCAACACTCATTCATGAGTACATGGAAAAATTTGTCCGGATATTTCCTCAAATCCGAGTATAGAGGTAAATCTGGCCTTTCAAGGTTCTCGGACTATAAATTGGATACACCCAGTATTTTCTCTTAAGTTTTCTTGCACGAAATCTTGTCAGTAACGCACAATATGACAGCGGTTTCTGTCATATACATCCTTTTGACACTCGAAAGACGACTAAACAGTCGTTTCGTGTGCGCACCCATAGTCAACGACCAAACAGTCTTGACGACTTTTTGATTGTCCACCTGACTCCAGCCAGACAGATGGCCAACAGTCGGCCGGCAAAAAGTCTCTCGTGTGCGGTAGGCCTTACCCTAGGAGTGGCTAGACCAATTTTCAGTAGCCTATGTGCTTTGTGGGGTGGCACGCTTATTTTGGTGAATTTGTAAGGAGGCTCTCAAAATCTGTATAAAATTAGTAAGTAGGGACAAACTATTGAACCATTTATTCATTTGGTTCGTAATCGTCAGTAGAATTCAAAAATGGCAATAAAAACCAATTTTGGGAAGGTGGATTTATGGAAAAAAGTAAAAAAAAAAATATATTGAATTTTTAAATTTGATTTCAAAAGTAAAAACTTCACATTTAAAGAAAGTAAATTTTTATTGCACAATTAAAAATGTTCAAATTGTACACAATTTATTTCTCTAGAATTCTTTTTGTAAATTGATAATACAGAAAAATTGGAAAACGTCAATTTTTACAACTACACTTTTGATAGATCCAAAAATGGTCGCTAATAATAAATCAATATCATAAAACCATACATTTTTTTTAACCAATAATACCGGGGGTCCATAAAGTCCTGACAACATTTTGTTATGTAATTAAATGGAAACCATTAGACATACAAAAGTGTGATTTTATTTTTTAGAAAGAGCATGAAAAAAAGTTTTATATACAATTCATATAACATTAGTACACTTCCATATGTGACCCATTTGTGTCCCGTATAATTTCCAGTCTAAATTCAACCTCCTCCCAAGTACTTGCCAACATCTCTCCAGTGATTGTTGAAATTGCTTCTCTGATCCTGGTCTTCAACACGCACATGTCTGAAACAGGTGTAGCACAAACCTTGTCTTTCACAAAGGCCCAAAAGAAGAAGTCTAAAGGTGTGGTGTCTGGTGAATGGGGAGGCCCACCGCGACCAATCCAAAGGTTGTCATAAGTGTCATCAAAAAACCAATGCGGTGGAGCTCCGTCTTGTTGGAATATTACTCACCATTGAAACTCCTCTAATTGAGGCACAATGTACAGTTCAAGCATGTGCAAATATGTTGTTCCTGTAACTGATTGTTCTGCAAAAAAGAATGGGCCTATAACTTTGTGGTGCATCAAACCGCACGATTCATTAAGTTTGGAACTGTTTCTTTCGTGTTCTAAGACAACTCTTGGGTTTTTGCTGCCCCAAATTCGGACATTGTGCCGATTTACTATACCACTTACAGGGCTGTATTTAGAACTGATGAGGCCCCCAGTGATTCTCAATAGAGAGGCCCCTTTATCTTAGAATTCTTTAAAGGTTGGAACTTAAGGGAGAAATGCTCGTTGTATTGCATCACGATGAATTGACCCTTTGTTTCCAACCATCCGATTGGCGAAAAAATAGGAGACTAGCTAATAAATTAGTTTATAAAAAAAATAGTATTAGGGGTCTTAGGTCGGGGCCAGAGATTTTTAATTTCATTCGGGTTGAGTAAAAAATGTTTACCTTCGGGTATCAGATCAAAATCAGGCATTTTTGGGAATAATTGATGAAAAATACATATCCTATACTCTAATACGAGCAATGTTTGCTTGTATGTATGTATGTATGCTTGCTTGCTTGCTTGCACCAAGATCTCGAAAACGGCTCCGACGATTTTCTTCAAATGTTGTAAATAGATTATTTTTGGCCTAAAAACGAGTTTACTACAGTTACAACTGCCAACAAAAATCTAATTACGTAGAAAAATGAAACTGAAAGTCACATTTTTTTAACATTAGTCTTATGGGTTGCTAAGTAACCATGTTGGAAGAATTAAATAACAAGGAAAAAGTAAACAAAAGACTTGTAAGTTAAAACATGTGTTCATAAAGGCATCTACCCACAGTATACTAGAAATTAAAAAATACAGTTCAAAAGCAAAAACATCAGTTGTTACTATTAAGCAAAGATTATGCTGAAGATTACTGGATACAATGTTTGTAGTAAAGGCTAGCAGTGCGGAGTGTAGGAAGCGTCTGCGGCAGTTGGATTAATGTATCTAAAATACTCAAATGCTACGGTTAGATTCCCCATCCTTATGGAACAGCTGAAGCCAATTTTATTGGTAGTTCTGTCCGGTTTTCTGTAGATGTCGTTTTTGTCTACAATCTGTTTCTATTATTTTAGGGTTAGTTTCTCATTATTTGTGTCTCACTGTTTGGTTATATAGCTAATGGACGAGTTATTGTTTATGATTAGATAGTTTTATTTGGTTAAACTAGGGTTTAAATTACTGAAATAACAAGAACTACAGAAAACCGGGCGGAACTAACAATAAAATTGGCTTCAGCTGTTCCATAAGGATGGGAAATCTACTAAGGGACTATGTTTTATCATGTTCTATCCATGCTTAAATCCTAAGAAAAGGGTAAAATATTTATGTAGTATGAAATTATGGAAAAGTGGTAGGCCTATGTCAATTATTGTATGAGCTTTATGCAAGCACATACTTTGGTAACTATATATCTCAACTCTAGAACGGTAAAAAGTGTATTACTATATCACTAGCTCGAAAAAAGTCGAATATATTTTATTCTTATTGTGGCCAACTTGGTTTAAAATCTAGAGTCGACTCAATCCGATTGGATTGTATTATGTCATTATGCATTATGGCAAAACTAATACTGAAATAAAAAATTACAAAACTAATACTGAAATAAAAATTTTGCATTATGCACATGTGGTTAAAAGTCACATGTTTGTGATTAACGTATCAACAATAGAGTTTTGTTTGTAAACATCTTGCCTCAAAAAATTCGTTACTAGATGGAAATGTACTCAACAAAAAATCTGAAATCATGAAAAGAGGACGACCACCAAATAGAAGTTTGAAGAAGTTGGGGAATCCTATACTCTAATACGAGCAAAGTTTGCTTGTATGTATGTATGTATGTATGTATGCTTGCACCAAGATCTCGAAAACGGCTCCGACGATTTTCTTCAAATGTTGTATATGGTTTATTTCTGGCCTAAAAACGAGTTTACTGCAAATAGAACTGCCAACAAAAATCTAATTACGCAGAAAAATGAAACTGAAAATCACATTTTTTTAACATTAGTCTTATGGGTTGCTAGGTAACCATGTTGGCTGAATTAAATAACAAGGAAAAAGTAAACAAAAGACTTGTAATTTGTCTATCCACAGTATACTAGCAAAACAAAATACAGTACAAAAGGAAAAACATCAGTTGTTACTATTGAGCAAAGATTATGCTAAAGATTACTCGATTCTATAGTCAAGGGTAGCAGTGTGGAGTGTGGGATCTGTTTATGACGATTAAATTAAGGTATCTGCAATCCTAAAATGTAACGGGAAGGGTGGAAAACAGGTCCATGACGTAGGAAATGGGTAGGAAGTTGTAAGGCTAGCAGTGCAGAGTGTGGGAACCGTCTGTAGCATTTATGTATCTGCAATTCTAAAATAGTATTTAAGGAAGGAGGGCAAACAGGTCTACGACATAGGGAGTGGTGAAGGAAGTAGTAAGGGTGAGCAGTCCGGAGTGTGGGAATTGTTAATAACGATTAGATCAAGTTATCTACAATCCTAAAATGCTATGGGAAGGGGGGAATCAGGTCCGCGACGTAGGAAGTGGTGAAGGAAGTAGTAAAGGCGAGCAGTCTAAAGTGTGGAAACTGTTTATGACGATTAGATTAAGGAATCTGCAATCCTAAAATCCTGTGAGAAGGGATGGAAAGAGGTCCGCGACGTAGGAAGTGGTGAAGGAAGTAGTAAAGGCGAGCAGTCTGGAGTGTGAAAACTGTTTATGACGATTAGATTAAGGAATCTACAATCCTAAAATGCTATGGGAAGGGAGGGAAACAGGTCCACGACGTAGGAAGTGGTGAAGGAAGTAGTAAAGGTGAGCAGTCCGGAGTGTGGGAACTGTTAATAACGATTAGATCAAGTTATCTACAATCCTAAAATGCAATGGGAAGGGAGGGAATCAGGTCCACGACGTAGGAAGTGGTGAAGGAAGTAGTAAAGGTGAGCAGTCTGGAGTGTGGAAACTGTTTATGACGATTAGATTAAGGAATCTACAATCCTAAAATCCTATGGGAAGGGATGGATAGAGGTCTGCGACATAGGAAGTGGTGAAGGAAGTAGTAAAGGTGAGCAGTCCGGAGTGTGGGAAATGTTTATGACGATTAGATTAAGGTATCTACAATCGTAAAATGCTATGGGAATGGAGGGAAACAGGTCTGCGACGTCTACAATCGTAAAATGCTATAGGAATGGAGGGAAACAGGTCTGCGACGTAGGAAGAGGTGAAGGAAGTAGTAAAGGCAAGCAGCCCGGAGTGTTGGAACTGTTAATGACGATTAGATTAGGGTATCTGCAATCCTAAAATGCCCTCTGTTTGAAGTTCATTGTTGGTGATGGTGAGTTAATGTTGTTCAAAGGTTTACATTCGTGATTGATAATGTCCGCAATAAACCTTTGAACAACCTAAAATGCCGTTGGAAGGGAGAGAAACAGGTCCGCGACGTAGGAAGTGGTGAACGAAGTAGTAAAAGTGAGCAGTCTGGAGTCTGGGAACTGTTTATAGGAATTAAATTAAGGTATCTACAATCCTAAAATGCTACGAGAAGGGAGGAAAACAGGTCCATGACGTAGGAAATGGTGTAGGAAGTAGTAATGCTAGCAGTGCAGAGTGTGGGAACTGTCTGTGGCATTTATGTATATGCAATTCTAAAATGGTATAGGGAAGGAGGGCAAACAGGTCCACGACGTAGGGAGTGGTGAAGTAAGAAGTGAAGGTGAGCAGTGTGGAGATTGGGAGTGGATTAATGTATCTGCAATACTTTTCAGAGTAAACTAATAATTTTCGCCGAGCAAAGCTCGGTCCCCAGGTACTATTAATTATTGATATACACAGCACCATAGTCGGTTTATACAAAATCTAATCGCAGCCAAATTGTAAACGTCTTCTTAGATCACAGTAAAATCGTGGACATCTGCTGCGGTAGCGGTGATATCACCTTCGTCTCCTCCGATCGCGGTGTAATCAAAAACGTCTCATGTGGCAGCGGATAAACAGTTAACTTCTTATTGCAGGGATCATCTTTGTCTCCTCCGATCGGGGCGGAATCATGAACGTCTTATGTGGCCGTGGAGAAATAGTTAACATCTTGCACGATCGCGGGGACGTCATCTTCGTCTCCTCCGATCACGGCGGAATCATGGTCGTCTCTTGTGGCAGCGGAGAAATAGTTAACATCTTGCGCAATCGCGGGGACATCATCTTTGTTTCCTACGATCGCGGCGGAATCATGAACGTCTCATGTGGCCGCGGAGAAACAGTTAACATCTTGCGGGAGCGCTGAGACATCATCTTCATCTCCTACGAGCGTTACGAAATTGTGAAGATTTTCGGAGTTTGCACGGACATGGAGATATAAAAATAATTTAAAAAAAAATATCAAACTACGAAACATCCATAAGAAATGTATGGGGGAGAGTTTTCGTTTGAGTATATCTTCTAAATAAAAAAAGATATTGAAAAACGGATTTCGGCATTGAAATCAGTATAAAAATTTAGTTTGTAATGATGTGTCACAACACTATCATTACATTGAAAAAAAAATTATCTATGTCCAATATGGCGGATCCAAGATGGCGGCCAAAAACGTGTTCCCTATCAAAATGAAGTACTAACCACCTAATTAATACAGGTGGTGGTCCTAAGTCAATATCTCGAAAGTTGTGCATAACAAATGCATGTGAAATATATTTTTTTAAATTTGTCCAATGTTGGTAAAAGCCGCCATTTTATATATCATTTTAGTGGTTTTCTCGTGTACCGATTTTTGGCAACTTTTAGTATGTCATTCTGCAAACCCAACACTACAAAATAAAACCATAAAACGCTTTCTTGTATTTTTTTTAACGATCCCTATGTGAGTTTTTTTAGTTTGCTTGGACTATTAAAATGCCAGTGTAATATTTTAACTGTTTGTGTGAATGTGTGTAACTTATAGATACATTGAAATTTCTGATATACTGTAATGTTTTAATTGATGTTATTTTTGCAGGTACAAGCCAAAGAATCCAGGAAAAGTGAAGTTTCAGAACTGTTGTGTTCCCTGCTCAAAATGAGGCCTACCTCCAAAGTTACAATCCAAAATACAAGTCTTTATGCCCGCTACAGAGCTTTCAGCCATGGCAACTTCAATTTGAAAAATAGCTTAGGATGCACCTCATCTATTTCAAATGTCACCTCAGTACAACAGACTTCGGCAACTATGAGTGTGGCACCTCACACCAGCCAAGTGGTGGCTGTGTCTAACACAAACCCTCTACCTGCAGCCCTACCACTGGCAGACAACCAGCCCCGCAGACACATCAGCCAAGTGATGGCTGTGTCTAACACAAGCCCTCTACCTGCAGCCCTACCACTGGCAGACAACCAGCCCCGCAGACACATCAGCCAAGTGATGGTTGTGTCTAACACAAACCCTCTACCTGCAGCCCTACCACTGGCAGACAACCAGCCCCGCAGACACATCAGCCAAGTGATGGCTGTGTCTAACACAAACCCTCTACCTGCAGCCCTACCACTGGCAGACAACCAGCCCCACAGACACATCAGCCAAGTGATGGCTGTGTCTAACACAAACCCTCTACCTGCAGCCCTACCACTGGCAGACAAACGCCCCCGCGCCACCTCCACTGTTGTTTCTGGAGAACATGTCAGTATACTTTTTGTTTAAGTTCAAGTTAGGATTTTTATTTGACGATCAAGATGTTTAAACCATTTAATTTTTCTAAAAGGGGTTATTTTTAATGTTTTATTCGTAGTTTCCCCACCATTTGAATTTTTATGTATTTTTAGAGTTGTTTTAATCCTATTGGATGAAACTATTGAATTGTATACTGAAGAAGACGTACCATCTATATGGACCAGCTGTTACCAATTTTTATAAAAAAAGATGGTACTTACGTATTATACGGAGGCCACTTATTTTACAGCGCGCTGCGGCGGTTGGGTTAAGTTGGGTTATCATAAATATGTTTGTAGAACTTTCCTAGTTTCGTTATGAATCGAACTATACGAGATGAGTCATAAAAACTTATGATAACCCAACCTAACCTAACCGCCGCAGCGCACTGTAAAATAAGTGGCCTCCGTATAATACGTAAGTACCAAAAAGATCTTAGTTTACATCAGCGCAATCTATCAGTGACTCACTTCAACTATGTTCACTTTCATTTAAAAACTCGTTACAGCTTTCACAAGGGGATGGAATGTCTAGTTCTATCAATAGTCATAGATGAAACCAAATTGAAGCATTTTCACACACTAAACCACGCAGCTCATTGGCTGTCCCTGCCGCCGGTCATCATACAACTGCTGCAAATGTGTTAAAAAAATACATCTATTATATTCCATCTAATACATTTTCAGAAATCAGCCTTTAGTATTTCATTTTGACTTCAATTTACAGAATGACACATTGTTTCATCATTGTTCTACAAGCCGTCAAATCTCAGCAACGTTAAATCAAGTAAAACCGTATGTTCACAACAACCAACTCTACTCAAATGGAGAAACAAATGAAATTTTTGGCCGGATGTACTCCTTTCAAGATCAGCATGATTACAGGTAAAAAATTGGTTTGTGTAAAGTATTGTTTCACATTATTTTGTAACTCGCGGACCCGTGTGCAAATTGCGCATTTCAATAGGATTGATACAGTATTTTGAATCACTGACTATGGTTATACTTAACTGATTCAAACCATCAATACCAAGACATATAAAATAACTAAAGTAATAAACAGTATTAGCAATTTGACACATATTTTCTCGCATTAGCTTGTAAACAACCTTTATCATGGGTAAGTGGTTGGAGTAACTTTGATCAAAGATTACATATGCTACGCAAAATAGATATAGCACCTTACGGCAATTTTGTACCAAGTCGTTTTTGGATGGGGCCACCTTCACGTAGTTGGGTGGTCCCTCAACAGAGACGCTGTGTCAAGTCTCGATCTGCATTACCATTTAAGTTCGGGTGAGTTCGGTAATGTTCGCGTGCTCGGGATTAACTTGCCTGTACGCAACGCACTCGCCGTCGTCATCGTATCTCTACTGTAGTTTGAAAGCGCACAGCTGTCATTAATGTACCATAACTTTATCTTTTTACAAAAATGGCAGTTATTTAATTTAAAATGAAAGTGACCACGTAACAAAGAGCTAAAGGATACTAAAGGTTTACTGATATAAACATCAATTAATAAAAATCTTCAAAAATTGCAGTCACAGCGATATAATAAGCTTACAATGTTATACTAGTTTTTCTGCATTGAATTTTAACTTACATTTAGAGAACCCTTAACAATTTAGAAATTTATAAATCCTACAAGTTTTAATAATCAGGGACTATTTGTGAGTTCGTCGACTTTTCTGTTTTCGGAATTTTTATCCACAAAGTTTGCTTCCGGATTTCTAGACTCGCGCAATATCTTGCTACTAACTCACGATGAGGAATGTATGGTTAGTCAACTACTATCTAACCATTCACTGGCTACTTGACCTTTTTAAACATAGCAATATACACATAGTTCAGTGGCGTATCCAGGGAGGGGGCCCAAGGGGGCCGGGCCCCCCCCCGAATTTTTTTTTTTTAGTTACCCTGTACACACGGCACACGGGAGCGTTGCAATGCGCGTTCTAGAAACAGTCAAATGAGTGCGTACACACTACACAATACGTGTTGTTATTAAATAAAATGCCGGATTACTGGAATGTTTTCAATAAAAACACATAAAAATGCAATTAAAACACGTCTCCGAAGATCGCGCGATCGGAAACCGCTATTGCCGCGATCGGGCATGATGACGATGACGCGTGACCGCGGGAGACGATGATAACGTGTACACGTCCGCGGGAGATGTTCGTGATTTTGACACGATCGTGCATGACGACGATGACGTTTCCGTGACCGTGGGAGATGTTTATGATTTTGCCGCGATCGCGCAGGTCGACAATGACGTTTCTGTGACTGCGGGAGTAGACAATGATGTTTACATGGCCGCGGGAAATGATAAAATCTTGCCGCGACCGTAAAAGACCACGATAATGTCTACATGACCGCGGCCCGCGGGAGATGTTCATGATTTAGCCGTGATTGCGCAAGTCGACGATGACGTTTCTGTGACTGTGGGAGTAGACAATGACGTTTGCATGGCCGCGGGAGATGTTCATGATTTTGCCACGATCACACAAGACGACGATGGCGTTTCCGTGACCCTGGGAGTAGACAATGATGTTTACACGGCCGCGGGAGATGATACAATATTTTGCCACGACCGGGGAAGACAACGATAATGTCTACATGACCGCGGGAGATGTTCATGATTTAGCCGTGATCGCGCAAGTCGACGATGACGTTTCTGTGACTGCGGGAGTAGACAATGACGTTTACATGGCCGCGGGAGATGTTCATGATTTTGCCACGATCGCGCAAGACGACGATGACGTTTTCATGACCGCCGGAGAGAATGATGATATCTACACGGCCGCGGGAGATAATCAGAATTTTGCCGCGACCGCGGAAGACCTCCCGCCAAAAGACGCCGGATTACTGGAGTGCCGGAGTGGTACAGTCATTGCGTGTACATTACATAATATGTAATGTACACATGTCAACCCAAACATATTATGTTTGGGTTGAGTTTTCGATCACTGGACGACCACTAGTATGCTTTATTCTATAAGTTGAGTTTAGTTTTGTTAGCTTGATTTATTTTATTAAAATGTGTATATTAATAGTAGTTTAGGCATCTTGTTTAGATTTCAGAACAGTAAAAAAACAAATTTTTAGTAGTAATACACCAATATTATTCTCTACTTTAGAGCCTCCAGAGGTGTTGTAAACTGCAATTTAGCACCATAAAATACCAAAATTTTTCCAACCCCCCTTCGGTCCTGGGGGGTATTCCATGCCCCCCAGACCCCCCGGATCGGGCCCCCCCCAAAGCTGAATCCTGGCTACGCCACTGACATAGTTTGTAGGAAGAACATTTATCTAGACAGATCGGCATTTGTTTTCAAACTACGTATTATCTCGTCACATTATTGGTGTTTCATAAGTGCAGTTTGCAACTGAGCTTTGAAGAAAATGTAGAGCATAAGATACAAAACATAGATTTTTTATTTGGATTGTTTTATGTAACAAATCTTTCAACTGACGACTATATAAAATAAATTTAAGAACACATAGTTTAAGAAACAGCGGAACCTTAGTTGTACATAAATTAAAGAGGTTATCTTTGTTGAAATTAAAGACGAGGAAAGAATAATTGGGTTTAGACATTTTTGTTATGATTTTATCTACAAACTCATATTATACAAAACTGCATAATTAATAATAGCACAGCTGAGAGAAAGAAAAAAACATAGAGGAAAATTCTTTAAATTATAGATAAGTTAATCACATATCTTAACAATCTTTACCTCTTTCTAAATAAACGATATTTAGATTGGAAATTGGAGGTCAGTCACACTCTCGCAATCACACGAAAGTGAACAAACCCGAGTGACCCGACATCCCAATTTACTGGTATGGCCTGTTTTAAACATTATATTAAACAATAGGTCGAATACTTTGTACTGGAAGCCTGTAACTACCAGGGGTGCCCACAGGGGGGTTTGATGTCGCAAAATGCGACATCAGAATTTTATTTGGGGGGGATTTTGTGATTTTGGGGGGGGATTCAAGCCTGTGGTTGGTTAAAAGCACATAAAAGATTAATCAGATAATTTTTACGACCTCCTTAATTTATTACTGGGGTAATTATGCAATCAAAATCCCGTTTGACATTTTATCTTGATTAATACATCATTTTATAATTGCTATAAAATATATAGATACTTTTATCTATGCTTTTATGTGGATGGATTTCCACTTTCTGACTCGTATCATGTTTGACAGTGAGAACAACTCCATGACAACTGCTGTCAAAGGATTATGGTTGCTTATTAAATTGTATCTGCAATTTGAGTTTGTTTTAACCTTTCATTATGAACTCATTCTCAAATAGTCTCATTGCCTTGAGGACCTATTGATGGTTTTATAGGTTTGTTTATTATAATATATTCTTGATTCATAAAAAAAACCAGTATTATGATAATGATAATCATTTTGCTATTTTTACAACATGAAAAACAACATGAAAGCTTGTGATAATATTTTGGCTCTCCTAAATAATTATGTCTGGGTCATTTATTCATTGGAAGAAATTGACATACAGTACTGTGACATTTAATTAAGGTTTTTGATAGGCTATGTGTTTACGTTAACTTCAAGAACTGAAACACATGATTATGGATTAATTAAATTGTATTTGTTATTGTATTTTCTTGAATCTAGAAAGAGCTTCAAATAAATTTTACTAGTCTTAGAATAGATATATAATTATTTTTTTACGCCACGCTACACTATTTTGACGAACTTCCCATGCAAGGATTTAGTCCAGAAAACAGCTGTTGTCCTTTATCAAATGGGGTTTCATACAGTACTACACTGTACTGTAATGAGTTTTGCTGGACACCAATCAGCTGATTATACTGTAGGGCCTATTTGGGTGGCAATGAGTGGTTATAACAAAAACACCTCTAGTGATTTTTAGTCCTTTAGTTGGTGGTAATATAGGAATTTGAACGGATTTAGTAGTATGGCGTAAACTATCGTACGTCACTCGTCCAAAATTGTTGGCCGGACTCGTATAAAAAAAACACTACTCGACTTCGTCTCGCACAGGATTCAGGACTAGTAACGTAATATACTATTTTACCACACTATGATGTTTTTAACAGTTTTACATAAAGGTACATTAATTGGTGGCTGAAAGTTACGTTTTGCAGGCCATGCCAGCTGTCATCGTCATTTGGGGATCGAGCAGGGTTTTACATCCCTAGGGCCGCAAAATCAGCTGCCCGCTTTAAATACACAATCAGTATCCATAGCATTGCAATAGAGTTGTTTTATTGTCACCGCTGCCTAGCGACTATTCATTATTGTTTTTGCTGATTCCTCAAACTATTTATCCACATGACCTTAAAGTTGTAGTTGTGTTGACTATATCAGTGTGCAGTGTATTATCATTGAGGTGAATTAGTGGCAATAGACTATAGTGTGGGGTGGTGAATAATAGCGTTTGTACCACGGACTGAAATGGTTTTTCAGTTCTCGATCGTTTTAAGTCCTCAACCTCGTATCGGACTTAAAAACTACCTCGAACCAGCAAAACCTCATTTTGGCCCTAGGCACTAAATATACTATTAAGTTTAGGCCTAGTAATATTTTTGAGACTGAATATTTTACACCTATTTAAAAAGGACCAAACTCAGAAGTGGATTTAAGGGCAATTTAGAAAATATCTCAAACTTTTTGACATAACTTCAAGTACTTTCTCCCCTACAATTTAATATGGTAAAAGAATTTTTTATGTAAAAAACCTGATCCCAAAAAAGTTGTTTTCGAAGTGATGTGTGTGTCTGTCTGTATGTGTCAGGGTGTCTAGTAGTCGGGAAAATCGGGAAAGTCGGGAATTAGTATTGAATTTCAAAATGGTCTTGAAAAGTCGGGATTTAGTCTTA